TCTCCACCACCCCCCCCCCCCCCCTCGCGACTGGTACACCTGAGTGCTTGCTCGATGGCTGCTCGATAATTCGAGTATCATTGTCGCAGCTAATCGCGGCACGTATCGTAATGTATTAAAGATGATGCACGCTCGTCGACGTGACTAACGTGGGGAAAATGGAAACACATAATGTTCGTGACATATTGTCGACGAAAGTGGAACAGCATCGTCGAAGTTATAAAGTCGAAATTAATTAGTGCACGCGTACACGTTATCTATTTAAGCTATTGTAAGAAGTATAAAAATATATGCAAACTACTTTTTTGAATATCAAAGAAAGTACAATTTTTCATTAAAAAATCATTTGAATTATATAATGTTATTAAACATCACACAGTTATATTTTTCTTATCATTATACAATTTAATTTAATACAATACAATAATTGATATTGTGATGCTTTAGCCATGTGTTGTTTTGATATTCACATCTGTGTGTATTATTTAATACAGGGGCGTTAACTTTTAAAAAATATTATCAAATATTTTTTATATAATTTAAATAATTTATATAAAAATAATAATTGATTAAACATATATTAATTTCTCAATATTCTATATATAATAGTTTAATTATTTGCATATATTTTTTATTCTTACACTTTTTGATAATTCTAATCTATTTTTTATCTTAACTGACTTTTCCTTTTTCTTTACTCGAAATTATTGTTTCGTCGCCTACAACGTACATTTTCTTACAATTTTAATTTGTAAGATTATTCATCGATACCTAATTTACTCTTATCTCCGGTATACTCTATGTACATCGTAACAAAGTTACTCTCCAAAGTAAATTGACTTACCGGTGTGGTGTATGGTTGACAGGCTAGCCTAATGCCGTCGTGTCTCAGCTTCTCCTGCAGCAGCATCCTCAGTTGCATCCTTGGAATTCTCACCAGCTCGGCCTTGCCCTCCTCGTACTCGTCTGCAAACTTGGTCAACTCTTGACCGCCGCTGGAGGAACTTGCCGTGGGCGACGCTCGTTGCGCCTCTTTGTCGCTGGGTGGCCTCTCGGACGACGTCCTCGAAGACTTGGAGCTGATGTTGTCGCAGTTACTGTCGTTAGTCTCCTCTAGCGTAAAGTATACACTCGCGGCGCCCTCCTCGCGGAGGGTCTTCACCGACTGCAGCAAGCGAGCGCGGTGCTTCTGATTGAAGACTCCGATCGCGTCGAGATCCGGATCGCCGATCTGCTTGCAGATCTCAAGGTCGTCGTAGCCATTGTCGATGAACGACTCCGAGTATTGGCCGAGGTGGAGCGAGCGCAGCCACTCGACCACAATGTTGCTCGCCATGGTCATCTTCTCGGTACACTCTCGTTGTGTACGCGTGGGCCCAGGCTACGCCCCCGCTCTTTCGCTCTTTTATAAACTATACACTCGCGGCGCCCTCCTCGCGGAGGGTCTTCACCGACTGCAGCAAGCGAGCGCGGTGCTTCTGATTGAAGACTCCGATCGCGTCGAGATCCGGATCGCCGATCTGCTTGCAGATCTCAAGGTCGTCGTAGCCATTGTCGATGAACGACTCCGAGTATTGGCCGAGGTGGAGCGAGCGCAGCCACTCGACCACGATATTGCTCGCCATGGTCATCTTCTCGGTACTCTCGTTGTGTACGCGTGGGCCCAGGCTACGCCCCCGCTCTTTCGCTCTTTTATAAACCTGTGTTTCCTGGCTCTTCGTCCACCTCCGTTCCCTTCCGACCGTACTCTACCTGTTTCCCTCCGCGTTGATCCTCGTCGCACGACGATCCAGGTACGCGGCGCGTCTCCTTTACCCGCTGTACTTGACGGCTACCATCTCGCGAGGTCGCCTTCCAGATGATGTAACGTCCATCGAGACGCGAGGATCGTCGAAACTCGATTCGGTCGATTCAGCGTATAAACCGTATCCGTTCTCACGTTTCAACGTGACATTCTCCTCCACGATCGGCCGCGATATTAACGAGGGTCGTCGAGACGACCGACGACTTGGAGACACGCGGGGAGGAAGAGGAGGGGGAGGGCAAGCGATGGTTTGCGACGGTCACGTTCGCCGCTTGACATGTACCGTTCTTCGGCGCATCACGAGATATACGAGATATATAGGATCAGTATTGAAGCCGAGCACTTTCTTTCTTTCCGTCTCTTTCTCTCCTTCCTTATCGCCAATTGCTTCTTCGCCGAGTTTTTGACGCTTCTCGTCCGCGTCTAGTATTACCGATTCTCGGGAAAAAACAAAGCAGCGCCGGCTCGAAAAATTTAGACGGATTATTTGGCTTCTCCTAATGCACGTGTACAGCAAACCCGAGCGTATCTCGATGATCTCCTGTCGCGACCTTTTTACGACCTCTATTTCTTCGCGCACTTTTAACGTTTCACAAAATCGAATCCGATATACCGCTTGATAATACAATTTTTGAATGATTGGGAGTGTCCGGTTATTCACGTAACAAACGATAAACTTGTAATTTGAATGTATAAATCTGGAATCTCGTCACTTTTTAAAAATAATTTCACTTTATCGCGCGCTCTCGATGAATCATTAATTATGTCACTGAAGTCGCGAGATCGATAATCGATGAGAAAATACGACGTGATTTTTCACACCGCGAGAGTCGTTTCGCGCACTACGTGATAAACTGAAACAAACCCGGTGATAGTCCCGTCCACCATTCCAAGAAGCCTGAGAGGTCAGACAAGACGAATCTAAACGATTTACGTTGTCGTTGAAGACTCGCGAAAGTCCACATGTGACGTTGTCCGATCGTTGGAAAATCCGGTTGTCGAATCCGTGGTTTTTCAACGGAAGACGATTATAGATCACGTGAGATCTTCGTGACGACGGACGAGCGAAGGGTCCTTCCGTTGAAAGCACGAAACTTCACGAAGCAACGTCGGCGAAATAATCCGCGAACGATTGCCCGCTTGCTTTCTACAGCGATTTTGAACAGAAAAACTTTCGCGCGACACTCAACCGTCACTCAACTATATTCACGCGTTACATTCGACGAGTCTGCTTTGAGTTACTCATCCTCGATAAACGTACACACTGAACAAAACGAACGTTACGGAGAACAGAATCGAGCGCGTTTACTCACCGATGATTTGTTCCGAAAAGACACTTTTCGTCGCGACGAGAATCGACCACTGCTCGTTCGAAAACGTAGCTCGACTCTTCCCCAGAGAATTTCGTGCAGTCACTCGCGACGGGGTAACGGTCGGCTATTCCACGCATTGAAGTTTCCCCTTTTATATACCAACTTGCGAACAGAACCGGCACGCGGGTTTGAAAACGATCGCCCGGCCGGCGGCGTCCGATCTCGGGATTTCGTGGGGTCGAGACGAGGCGACAACGAACGACGAAGATTCGTTGGTAGCCCTGACGCGCGGCTTCTCCGATCGGGGACCGCGTGCGAAACGAATGAAAAGACGACGACGACGACAACGATGGTGACAACGACGGGGGAAACGTGGCCGGTGATGTTCGTAACGGGCGCGCGTCGCTCATAGTCAGAAGAACGAGGAAGACGTCATCGTCGATGCTCGACGAGACACGCGAAACGCAGTACTACCGCACACGACACTAACGCGACGCGGCACACGGCTCGACTGACACGAGACACACACCAGAGGGAGCCCCACTCGACTGCGCTCTTCACGAGCTTCCCCACCGCCGCGAGTCTCTCGTCCTCCCCACCATGAGACTTCTTGATCCCCCCCGCTGCCCCTCCCAACCCCAGTCGTTCGCGCGACGTGCCGACGAGAGCATTGGTGATGCGCCGCTATGTCAGGACGCAACAGCCGTCGGTCTTGACACGACGGAGAGTGTCCTGTGGGAAACTCTGCGCTTCGCAAATCTTTCGGCGTAATTTGACATTTGGCTGGAGAGAAAATTTCAGGTCTTCTTAAATCTTAATTCTATAATAAGAGAGAATATACGAAATATATGCATACCAAAGATTCTATCTCACTCTTCTCGAGTTTAATATAATGTTACAATCTTTGTTGATATTTGGGAAAAATATTGTAAACACGTTTCGCTTTTAAATATTTGGCTAAAGAAAAAATTCCAGGTGTTGTTAAATCCTAACTATAAGAAGAGAGAGAGAGAGAGAGAGAGAACATACGAAATCTATGTATATTAAAGATTCTATCTCGCTCTTCTGGAGATCTTTAATAGTTTAATAATGATATTTACAATCTTTATTGATATTCGGGGAAAATATTGTAACAGGAAACAGGTTTTGCTTTTAAATATTTTCGGCATTTTAAAAAGTATTTACAGAAAGCTTTTTCACATTTAACATTTTAAAATACATTAATGATTATTTGCATAAGCATTTGATCAAAATATAGAATTTTATTATGCAGATTTTAATTTCGACTTTTGTAAAGTAAGAATCGTATATATATTAAAAAATATATTTTTTAGTATCTAAACTATATACGGCGAAATTCTTATCGCGATCGGTTTCCGTATTAAAACGCTAACGTTTCATGTGAATTCACAATGGAGGGAAAAAGTGGACGAATATTAGTTTCTCCATAACGTTCGCGTTGCGTGATCACTCAGAAGGGACCACGGTCGTTGAAGGAGAGTTAGTATCGATGATTATCTGAGAGAATCGTAATCAGTGCCTTTGTCAGAATTGTGGCATTTATAAATGAGCGCCTAACGGCAATAGTACGAGACCTGTGACCCACGAGGCAAATAATCTGCAATTCGCTGCCACTCAAATGGCCGGCACGCCAACTCTATATGCCATTATATTACGCTCGAACGAAACTGGACTGCATCGGGTAAATGCGATAGGAGTGGCGATAGTTCGAGGGTCACCATGGATGGCCACTTCTTCCCCTTCTTTCAGGCAAGAATCGAGTGTTCTCGAAGGGCAGCTTCCTTTGAAATCAATGATGTAAGGCGATCGTGGATGCACTTACATATCGGATAATTTAAAAGATACTAATTTGTCCATTATATTTATATAAAGAATAAACATCAATTACGTAATTTTTTAGAAATGAAAAGATAATTAAAAATTTTCACACAAATTTGTCTCTAAAATTCAAGATTGCATATATTTTGTCCTCTATATAGCGGTATAATGGAATTTTATAGTAACATACAATTTTTAAATTAATCGAACAGTGCAAAGTAAAATAGATTCCTAACATTTTTATGATTATCAGAGTTATTTATTCGTATATCGAATAAATTATTGCATCTGTCGTAAATGTTCTATCGAACAATTTTAAAATTATACGTTATTAGAAATATTCCTAATAACATATTTTTGAGGAGTATTTCTCAAAACATAATGTGAAACGCACTTTTATTCTTCTTTGTAATATAATTGCAATATGATATTTACTGCAAAATGATATTCGGGCATTATATGAAAGATCATTATTAGACGATAAAATAATAATACAGGTATTATCATCTACATAATTTTATGTTTATTTGACTAAATTTGCAGTATATTTTTTATTACTCGTAAAACACCTGCCGCATTCGCTTTTTTAAAAATGCGAACACGAAAACCGATAGCGACCACGTAAAATCTCTATTAAATGACAATGCTAGTCGTGCGGAGCTTGTGCGAACGATGATCACCGATATATGCGTGAGGTCCGAATTAATTGAATGATCGGCATGGACGTACCCGTCCTGCTATGACGGCAAAGCAGGGAGTGACAAGTAGCTCTCAATAACGTGATATGACATCGCGTGTCGTGGACAGGAAGGACCCTTTCAATGCAACCCTCGCTATTTCCTCGCTTTGGTCGAGTAATTTGCTTTCGAAGCAGAGGGATGAGAGCGGAAGACGAGTCACCTGTCAATATATTAACTCGTTTCCGCAATACCGCGAATTATTATGAAGCGGCGAAATCAAGCTTTTATAGTACGCTAATTGCTTCATACGTCCCAAATATTTATAATCGTATAACAAATTTTAGCGATATTCGAATATCTCTGATTATACGAGACTAACGATGTTATGAATATCTCTTTGAGTTTGTTATTGAAGTCAAATGACATGATGGTGGACTCCATTAAAATATTCTACATCAACAAAATTTTGCGAATATATTATCGTAACCCACAGACATTTTAATAACGATCAGGAATAGCATACTCGCACGCATATTCACGAAAATATTTGTGGAGAGAAACCTAAAGCTGTATACGCGTCAAATTGCAATAACGTTATTTTACATATATTTGCAACTGAATATTTTTTTATGATTTATGAATAAAAGCTTGTATCTACATAAATAATGTATAAATCAAATTATTGCGTTAATCAACAGAGATCATTAATTTTATGAATAAGAGGACGGAGAAGATTAGTATTCCGACGATTGTCTGCTAAATATGATAAAGCATGACTTGTGAGAAAACGGTTACCGCATACAGAGCAGGATAAACGTAGGGTCCTGCCGGATTCTGGTTAGGTACTCGGCTTATCTTTAATCGGTGTGTCGACACGACGCTAGCAAGAATTTGTAATTTATTGGTATATATATATATATACAATATTGAACGCACATTAAATAGATGCTCACAATAGCAATAACTAATAATAGAAAACGGAATAAATTCGTGTTAATTTGTTAACCTAAAATCTCATAAAAAATAATCCCCGAAGCACGCAATTTATTTTTTGACTTGTGTTTATTGTGATTTTACAAAACGAAGAATAATATATCATTTTCACGTCCATAATATTCTATGTTCATATAACGATATCAATTGTAATCGATACTCCGATTGGGGAGCTTAATCCTATAACTTTCATACGGATGTCGTTTCATTGTTTACGATTCTAGTGATGGCGTGTTTACGGTATATTTTACCGTTTCAAAACAACCAATAAAACGATACATTCTGCTCGCCACGTGAGGCGAGAGTGTCGATGGCTCTGAGTGTAGCCTGCGACACTGCAACCAGAACTGCGGCTTCGCGCCGTCATTGCAGCCGCGCAATGATGGTGATCAGCTGCATC